TATATATATAAAAAGAAGTGTGAAGCTGTCCAGAGGTAGGATGGGAGTGATAACTGGAGGCCATAATGAATGGCTCTCACTGTAAGGCTGAAGCCAAAGCACCTGGGATTCAGCCACGTCCTCAGCTGCGTTGCTGATCTTTAGGCGATAAGTTACCTGTAACGGAATAAGTAGGGTGCTGTTTGGAGCTCTTTGAACGGGGGAGCGGGTGAAGGGTTAGTTCATGGTCTTTTATGGGTTCCCCCGCATGAACTCTGGTTGATGGGACCCTGCGGTGAGAAGGAAGGGGAAATTGGAAGCTGTGCTTCAGCCCTGATGAAATAAAACAGCTTTTGTAACAAACAGAGGAATGGTGGCTTATTACTGCTGATAACGTAGAGGGCCAAAACACAAGTGCTGCTTTGCAGAACTAACCACATTCTATAGCGCTGTCCCTGCTCCGCTGCAGGTGATGGTGGGCTGGCTTGTAGTGCAGAGCTGCCTCACCTCCTGAGATGCTCCAGTGTCACTTCTGCCGAAACGAACGCTGCCCGCGGATGGGTGTGTTAGGCGTACGGGCTAATTGACCAGTGTTGGGGTTACCTGAGTTGCACGTACACTACCTGTGCTGAGCAAACTTTGTGTTATTTCTGCGCTCCCAGTTCCACTTTACAGCAGCCAGCGGGAACAACTTGGTCCTTCCGTTCCAGCCTCTTGCTGTGTTTGTGGAGCTGCCAGCACAGCCCATCTGTGTTAAATATCTTGTGTGTGGCTAGGACAGAGAATGCTGGTTAAGCTTCTGTTAGCTAGCTAGGCATACTCAGATTCCACACCAGGAGGAAGTTACACATTGCTTTGGTGTTCTTGCTGTTCAGGCTTTAAAAAAACAAAATGAAAGGTGACAGTTACATCAGAGCTTGTTTATAGCAGGTGCCTTGGTTATTCCTGTATCTCGTGCAGCTTCACTCTTCCCATGATGCTCAACCGCTTGCCTTCTGACTTTGGCAGAGTCTTGTAAGAAATCAAAGTTTGTGGATTTGAGCCTTTCCAAGCATTGAAAAAGTAAATTCTGTCAAAGGGAAAGGATTAAAATCTTTCTGAAGATTAAAACACTCCTGTTAATAGGAGAGGTTGCCTTAGAATGGTGGATCCTCTGGAATCACAACAATCCCATAGACCAGGAGAGCACCTCTGGATGCTGCAGGGAATCCGTGGGCTGGCTTTGGTTGCGCACGTGTGAGCGCTGCCTTGTGCTGAGGGAGCGCTTGGTAAGTGGAGAGCAGAGACGGGCAAAACACAGGGTGGCTGTAGGCTCTCACGCTTCACCCTATGCAGGACCTTCTGCGACACGTAAAGGTGGAACCTGCTGGCATGAGGAAAGTGCTGCGGACTTACCCGAGCCAACGTTTGCATCGGAGCTGCGTGCGTGTGCCGTGGTCCTGCTGTGGAGGTCAGGCAGAGTGCTGTTGCTTCGACTTCAACCCTGGTGCTGTATTGCTTGGCGCTGTGCTGTTGAAAGCTGCTAACAGCTCATGGCTAAGTGGCCGAAAGTTCCTCTTTGGTTAGATAAATCACAGTTTTGTAACACAGCTCTAGGCTGCCTGTCATGGGAGAGTTCAGGGGCTGCAGGCAGATAAACTTGCTGAGGTGGGATTAAAAGCTTGCTTTGCTGTCAGGTTGCTGCTGTAAGTGAAATTAGGCTTATAATCAAGCTAATGATGTGGGCCCTGAGTAAATTACAGTTTCAGAGCAGCTCAAAGTGGAGTGGGGAGGAAAGACCATGGAGTCCAAGCTGAAAGGACTTGGGATAATCTTTGGCTGTTGGGAGGCGTACATCTAGTGTTGGAGCGTGTGTAGGGGGCTCTGCAGTGTACCAAGGCTTGCTAGAATTGCTGGAACTGACTCACTGCTGGCTTTTTACTCACTTGAGTGGCTTCTTGATGTTGCCAGTTATGTTGGTTATCCTTACTAAAGGCTGTATGAGCATTAACTTAATCCTTAAAGCTCATCTTATCATCTGGCCAGAGCAGTTTTTACCAGAAACATGTTAGACTGGGGAGGGAGCTGTTGTCTGGAGGAATAAATCTGAACTTCTCTAACCAAATGTCTTTGGAGTTTACAATTAAAACTAATTATAACTTGAAACTTTTGTAGGGTTAAACTTTAAGGTAAGACTTAAGGTGTTTGTGTTTGGTGTTTTAAAAACTTCTTGTGAATTTTTAGAACTCCTTTAGTAGTTAGGAAATACAGTGAAGGGAGGAGCATAGGGTGGGTTGTGGTGCTGGCTTTCCTGTGGCTTTCATGGCGTGGGAAGCAGAGCTGGGGGGTCTGGCATGAGCACACTCCATCTTCCTTAAAATGCTTTCCGGGAACCTGAGGTGGGTGTTTGTTCCTAAGTTCCCAATAAAACACAACTGAATCTGGTTTTGGAGCCTAAAGGTCAGTTTCTTGTGTGAGTTTTGGAGCTTTTAGAATAACTAGTTCCCAGGTGCAGTGGTAGTAGTTTCATTCAACTTGGCCTTTGGACAAGACACCTTGAACCTTGCTTTGCATTACATCGTGCTTCCACTTCCTCATTTTTGCTGAGGAACTAATTAATATGTTTAAGATGGGTCAAGTTAATGGTGTGATCCGCAGCAGTGGGCCCAACACCAAGGGTGCTTTGCTGTAGGGGAGAGGGCAGAAACTTTTAAGTTCTGTCAGCTGGAGAGACAGCGATTCATGGTGAGATGCCTCCTGGGAGCTGAGAAACCCAAACTGAAATCTCAAGGCTGCCTGATTCTTAGCTTCTAAATTCCTAAAGTAAAGCCTTCTGCATGTTGCTTAAGGATCAGAAACTGTCTTAAACAGTAACCAGCTACAGCTTGCTTCAGGTGTTGGTTTAAAATCAGCCTTGTCAAGGTTAGACTTGATCATTGACCAACAAACCTTCCGGGATTGTGAGGAAATAGAGCAAGCGTTGCAGCTTGGGGTCTGATCCACGCAGTACTGGCTGGATGATGCATGGTACCAAACTGTCATGGATATTGCAAGTTCCTCTTCTGTGTGAACTCCGGAGCTGGTTGTTCTGACTTACAAACCAGCTGGTTTTCAGCCTCCCTCAGCAACATCTGGAAGCAAAGACCTCATTAGGTCTGGTGCTGTGCTGGCAGTACCTGGGAAACTGCACAGAAGTCTTCAAAAGGCAGAGTGAGGTCTCAGCTGGAGAAGCTTGGCACTGCGCTGCAGTGGTGGATGCTCCTCTCTGTTTGTACCTGGGTATGTGCAGCTGTGTGTAGCTGCCATTCCTGTTTTCAAACTTGGCTCTGCAGGTCTGACAAGTGAGCAGTGGACGTCTTACAGCATGTCAGCAGCTTGAAGAGAACGGCGTGTTAAAGTGATCATCTGTGCCCTGCCAGGAAGTCCGGTGATGTGTTGGCCTCTCTGCTGTGGAGGGGCAACTGGCGGCCTCCTGCGGCAAGTGGCTGTAGGGAGGTTAACTGCTTGGATAACTACAAGGAGGTTTGTTCCACAAAAACTGGGAGGTTTTGTATTGCAGAGATTTTGAGTTGAGAGTTGTTGCTAAACTTTTCCAAGAGCAAGGAGCTTATGCGTTGCTTTTTATGCAGGCCTTTTAATCTGTGATGTTTCAGTATGAATTTATAGGGCAGAACCTGAAACGCTGCCTGAGGTGAGAACCGCATCAGTGACATAAGTGGTGTGAGTGTTCGCTGTAAGTCATCTCCTGCCAGTGAGATACTGTACATGACTTCAGGAAACCAAAGCATTCCTTCTAGCTGGAGCTGAAGATTGAAGAGAAAGAAATGGTAGTTTGAGAAACAGGGTTGGTACTACCTGAACTTCATTGTTGCCTCTGCATCTGTGGTGAGACTCGCCTCTCGTGGGATCGCTGAAGGTGTGGTGTTCTGTCCAGTTTGGCAGAGCAGTGATTTTCAGCAGTGGGATGTAGCGTGAGTGTCAGGGCAGCTTTGGAGCAGCGTATTCTGCTAGCTGGTAGAACATGCTGCAGCTTGAGCATGGATGTTTGCAGCTGTTTCCACTTTATAGCAGGGAAGGTGTGTGCCAGGTTCTGAAATAGAACCCATGGTAGGTTGTGGTCTTACCTGGCCAACGTGGATTCTTACAGTTACGCTCCTTCCAAGCCTGGTGGTGGTGTTGCATTGTATTTATGTATAAAGCAGGAGTGAAGGGGGTGAGAAGTGGTAAGGAAGGGAGGTTTAGATGTTTTTGGTTTTTTTAATAGATGCATTTGAGTTTTTGAGTTCTGTAGCATTACTGTGTCTTTGCCAGAAGATTAGAGTCCAGTAGCATTTGGAAGTGGACCATACTCTATGCACCTTTAGAAAGAGTACCTGTATTTCTGGTTTTAAGTTTTCATGTCTCTACTTCTGAATTTGTCCGTGTGGAGACTCACTTCTTTGTGTCTGTGACTACACTGACATGAAGAGCGTGTGGCCTTCAGGTGCCAGTGAAGGTGTGTGTAGGTGGCTGTGTGTTCCTGTGCTGTGCTGGTTGCCCAGGGTGTCTTTGTCTCACCCGTGCTGGAGCAGAGCACAGTGCTGTCTGCTACTCTACGTTTCTCAGATTGTCGCTATCTGAAAACTTCTACGGTGTGTACACCTCTCTAGGGTAGGGTAGAGCAGCATTCTTCTGTTGCTCAGGATGATGCTCAGCACATTTAATATTCTGGAGTGAAAGCAGTGAGGTGTGGAGCGGGTGGTGGGGAGTGAGAGCACATCACTGATCTTCATGCCAGCTGATACTTCCAACCAGGAGGTAAGGAGGGCGTCCGCACTTGGCTAAAGTTGGCTACTCTGAGTTGACAACTCTGATTGCTTTCCACCTTCGGAGGACACCTGGAGATGCTCTCTGCCCTCAGGAGGGAGCAGGCTCTTCAGCAGGTGCTGCATGCTCAGGATCTGCTGTCCAAGTCCATGCGGAAGCACCAAGTGTGAGAGCAAGGTTTGCTGGGGTCAGCGCTGTAAGAAGCTCAGGAGGAGTACTGGAAAAGCTTTAGTAGTCTGGTGTCAAGTCAGGAGGCTTTCAGCTGGGCTTTTAAAACGTTGGGAGCCACAGAGAGCAAAGCCAGACTTGTGTGTGCTTTACAGTAGTCAGGGTGTGAAGCTTTGTTATCTCTGCTGCAGGACTTTTGGAGGGACTGCATGCTGAGGGGGAAATCAAAGATTCACTTCTTTGGTGTAAGGCAGCATTCTTCTCTTGTAACTGAAGAGGGTTTGGTTACTGGTGGCCTCCCAGTTCATGAGAAGTAGAAGCTGGAACTCTGAGATATCTATTCAAGACAAACAACAAAAGGCCATTAAACAACAAGCTTTTTCCATTCCCGCACTTGTCTTGTCTTGATGATTGCCCTTCAATGTTTTGTCTGTCAAAAGCTTCAGATAAGTCTGGTCTCTGAGAGTCCCCTGGGCTGTTGCTGGTACCTCTTACAGGCTGGGAGATGAAAAGCTGAATGTGCAGCGGCCCAGGGACAGCATGGGAGTGTTTCCTGAGTGCTAGGTGCGTGTCCTTGGAATGGTTGTGTGGTGTTTATTTACCTCTCCAGACTGAGCTATTGCAGAAGGGAGGTGGTGTGTGTGGGCCTGTCATGCAAAGCAGGTCAGTGGCTGAGCCAGAAATAGCCAAGTTTCACTAAGTTTTGACTAATAATTTCCACTTCCTGAGCAAATTGCTGATGTAAGTTACTGGTGACAATGTGTGGACTCTCTTTCTGATCTGGGCTAAAATTCTGTTTCACATTGAAACTTGGTGTTCTGACTCACCCAACCTGTTCAGCCAGAACAATTGAGACTCGTGAAAGGATTTCTTCAGAGGAAAATTTGACTGATGCCGGTACTTGAACAGTGAGGATTTCCATTCGCAGGCTGGCAGTTCTGGAGATACAGAAGCGCTTTTAGTCTGATTAACCACCCCTGTTCACTGATGCACGTGCCTGCAGATGAAACCATCACAGGTTGTGGGAGTTTGGGTGCTGCAGAAAGGCTACGGCGGGCTTGAGAGGATGAATGGGATCACTGCAGCTGGAGCAACCTGGGAGGTGCTACAAAGGGGGCTATAAAATGAGGCTGATACGGAGAGTCGTTGGACTGAGGCCATCTCTCTGTGACCTGGAGATAGTGGAGTATCTAATCCCTCAGTAATGCTTGGGATTTTTTTAAGTTTTATTATCCGTGAAGGCAAACCTCTGGCTTGATGAGGATTGCTGTGACGTTAAGAGTCTGGAAACCTGGAGAGGTAACTGATGCGTGTGCCAAGCGCGTTACCTGGATTTAAGGTGTGACTCTGCTTTCTGGGGTCCTGGCTGTTAGTTTTGCGGTGCTGCCATTCTTGTGGTTTCAGAAAAACTCACTGATGTGAGCGTTATGTTCGTGGGCAGGAATGATTGCCAACGTGCCACTAGCAGCTTTTTTAGCAATAACATCATTGGATTTGAAATGAAATTAAATAAACTCTTCCTGTTTTCTAGGAGTTGAATGATCTGGCACGTGATCCTCCAGCACAGTGTTCAGCA